AATTAAAATTAATAATATAATGCGTGTAGGATCAAGTGAGTAGGTCATTAGTTTCAAACACGTGTTTCACCAAAGAAAATAATAATAATAATAATATAATAGGGTTTGAAGGGTTACCCGAGTCCATGTCCTTTTTTACAAGACTTATCAGGGCCAAACCCTTAAACTCGATTATTTTAAAAAAAATTTATTTTTAAAACTCGAACTCTTATTTAAACAGAGCCTCTAAACCCAATCCTTATTTCTGGATCTATACTTACCTTTATTTACACTCTAAAAAAATATAAAGTAATTTGTTTAATAAGGACATTTTTTTAACAAAAAAACAATTATTACACTTTAAAAAATGTCAGATAACAGAGAGAGTATATTATTTTAGGTTCAATTTAATTCATAATTAAATATCTAAACAAGTAATTAACCCCAAATAATCTCAAATGTAAATTCTTATCAATTTAAACATTAAAACAAGATAAATTCTTAAATTTTAAATTCTCAATATAAATTTAAATTCATAATTTATTTATTATTTAAAAATTAGGATGTGATACGCAGCATTATATAACCCTTGACTTTGACTTGGTTTTCTTTGTTTATAGACAAATGACGAATATTAGGAATACTTTTTTTGTTTGACCTCAAGAGTGTGAGTTTTTTTTTTTTAACATGTCTATCTAACTGGCCTATTCGAGAATTGTTGGACTTAATTGAAAGCAATTCTTTTAAAGATGTTTTTTTTTTTCATTCATACAAACTTGAGTTCAAAATCTTAGTTTGAGTGGCTATAACCCCTTCTATTAGGACCAATGCTTGTTGGTTCAAAATTATGAATATTAATGATGAGAAATTCTTGTATGGATATAGCGCATAATGTTATTTGTCTATTTTCTAATAAAAACATGCAATGTCAAATGTATTTAATCATATGTGCTATCCCTCATTTAATTCATGTCATTTTAGGATATTTTAAGGGAAAAACTTATATATTTAGACTTATATATATTTAAAAAAATTCTAATTAAATCAAAATATTTAGATCTTTTATAAATTATTTATATTATACTTCCTTCATTAAAAACTGTAAAAAAATTTTTGAAGAGTTAAATGTTAAAAAATATAAGATAGTTTTAGTCTTTTAAGATATAATAATTATCTTTTTTTTTTAAGTATTCCTATTAATGAATGACTTTATATTCACTATAAGGTATTTAATAGAAGTAAATATAAAAAGATAGAGTTAGTTTGAAAGTAGTTAATTATTTTATTGGGAGTGAGATTCGGTTAAAAATATATTTTGAAACGAAAGGAGTAACAATCTCTTGTTACTAATATTATTAATTATTAATATATTTAAATTCACTTGTCTTTTTTTTATTAGATAAAAGTATAGTAAGTATATGAAGCTACATGCATAAGTTTTACCCATATTTTAATTTATTATCTTTTCTCTCTTCCCTCTTTTATGATCTAAGAGTAAAGAGAGAAAATGTAATAAATTAAAGAGATACTCTATTACAAAAAAAATTATTAAAAATAATAATATATAAAATTTTATTTGATTGAATCAGTATGGAAGAGATGATGCTTCTAGTCTAGGCAAGATTTTCTCTATTAATGAGTAGTAAGAAGTAGATTTTTGAGTGTGTATAATATCAGGCTAAGCCGCATTATAAATAAATTGTAAATAATTATTGTCGTTTGCTTGGCGTGTATTAAAATTTAAAAAATTTTGTACTGAGAAATTTTTCAATATTTTATAATAAATTTATACAAATTTCTTATAGATTGAGCTACTAAAAATAAATAGTTTAGTTTTATATATATTTTTGATATAATGGTTTAGTTTAATATTAAAATCACATGACTAACAAAAAGTCTAATTTCTTTCGAGTCTCGACTACAAGAGATCATATCCTTCCCAAATTAGTGTTTTTCAACCGGGCACGCCCTTTGCATTCATTATTTAGATGAAACTATACAAGAATTTTAAAATTAAATTTTATCTCATAATTATCATTTTCCTGAAAACGTAACTTTATATAGAAATTATACAAATTGTCTCTTCCTTAGAGAGGATAATGAAAATTATACAATAAAAAACATAGAATAAAGAAAATAAGTAAGTTAGAAGAACAGCTTAAAGAAGGTAAATTAAGCATAAACAAGATACAGACAAATCATTTTTAAATAGAATCTTCACCGTAGATACCAATGATCCTTATCTCAGGATTTTAATATATATATATATATATATATAATTATAATAAAATTAAACAAAAAAAACAGTGTGATTTGCTTTTGTAAATAAAGAAAAACACCAACAAATTCCATGTGTAAATGTTAGGTTCTATGAGCATGTGGTGATAAACGAATCTACACTTCAACAAAATAGTTGACTTGCTGGTGAGAATGATAAACGGGAAAAAAAAAAAAAACACACACACACACACCCACAAAAGAAGAGATATATAAAAATGTCTGGGGAAAAAAATCTAAATCAAGTTTGATGCCTTTCTACTATATGAAAAAATAATATATGAGTCTCACTCAATACAATTAATTACTTTTAAATTCATTCACAATTGAGTTTAGAATAATGACAACACAAATTGTGTTGCCATGCTCAATGCGTTGTTATTCTTTTAATTTCAATTATTAATGGACCTATAGTAATTAATTGTGTTGAATGAGACCTTAGATTAATTCTTTCTTTCTACATTCCATTTATGTTTTTTTTATAAGTATATAATATTTGGTATCATCTATCTAGCATTACTAAGCATAAATAGAAGCAACTTATTGGTAAACGCCATTGTAAGCATTTTTTGAGCTTGGATATATGCCTTAATCTTGATGGGCTCCTAGAACGCAATTGATCACCTAAACTTTTATTGACAAAAAAACAAAAAAAGAGAGTAAGTTATTAGTACTTTTGGTATGTAAGGAATTGAAATTGAGTCATCATCATTAGATTCAGTATTATGTTATTTTTTGTATTTTTTATTTTGATATATACTTCATAATTCAAATTAAAGATAATTTTTTAATTATTATGTTAAAATAATTATTTTATTAAATAAAAATTAATTCTAAATATCAAACATATTTGAACAGTTCAAATCTCATCATATTAATGAGTATAATGGCAAGGAGACTGATAAGCACCCAAACAAAGCCCGGGTAAGTCACTCTCACCTAATTAAAAAATAAAATTTGATATTCTATTATAATAAACATTAAAATATTAAAACAGCCAACTCAGCTAATATTTTTTCTTAAAAATAAAAGTCAACACCGCAAACTAAAGTTGACCGGTAGTACTGACGAGATCGTAATGCTAACAAGATCGGGCGCTCATCCTTCAATCAAACCCCTAAAACGTTTCACCAAACCAAACTCCTCCATGTCCATTAGACTCATCAAATTAAATTTAATAAAAAATAAAATCACGTAAATAATATTTTACCAATTATCTAACATTATTCATAATTTATAAATAATATAATTTATTATAGATTTTATATTTTATGTTGATGTTTTTATAAAAAAAATATATGGTGAATATATTGAATAGGGTTTGAAGAACAAATCACATCATTTTATGATGATAAGTGATTTGATTGATTATAAATTTTATTTATAAAATTTTAAAAAAAAAGTAGATATATTATTCAATATATTTTGTCTAGGGGTAAAAAAAGTGTCATATAATTCATGATATGTAAATAAAAAATAAAAACTATAGATTTTTTTTTTAAAGAGCTATGAAAAGCCCCACTTCTTAAACTATGACTGGAAAAATCATTTCCCATAATTAATGTAATTTATAAGACTAGTTAATACTCCCTCTAATATCATATAAAAAAAACTTAATCACAATTTTTAAGAAGATTGTTTAAATAGTTCTTTTTTTTTTTTTTACTTATGCCTCACATTCAATTTTTTTTTGAAATACAGGAGCCTATAATTTGACCTAAGCCCGATGAATTAGCTCGAACTCTCCAAATAATAATTAAGTTTGGACTTGATTATATAAACATTTTTAAAAAGATAGGATGCTTTAAGATTAAATTGTATAAGCCCGGTTGCCAAAATTATCATCTTTATAATGTAGAGTTGGTAATCCAGGCCAAATTCGCTGGGTTAACCTGAATCCATATAAAAAAAGTTAAAGTTAGACTTGACTATATGAATTTTTTTTTTAAAAGATAAGATATGTTAAACTTGACCAAAACAAGCTCAACCGGCCGGTGCCCATGTTACTATGCATGACCTAACATCATGTATTTTTCTTTTAAAAAAGTTCAATATTTCCATGTAGAATACAAAAAAAAAATTATATATCAAAAAAGAAAAAAATTAAGTTTTAACTTTTTCTGGTTAATGACCCCATTATAAAAATCTAAAAATTCAATTACAAAGAGACAAGAAGTTAAATTGGTAAAATTCTTGCCCTCCAGATCTATAGTCATTGACCATAATAGTTTACTCTTATTCTTATCTTCCCATGAAATAGGTGCACAGGCTTGCCAAATAAAAAAAAAAAAAGGCTCATAAAGTCTAAAATCAATGAGTTATTCGATGATATTCTTAAATGACACATCTTTATCTTTATTTTTTTCTTTTTCCTTCTAAAAGGGCAATTTTTTTTTTCTCTGCAAAAAGTGTTATACTTCATATTACTTACATCTTTAGATAGGATGTTAACAAATATCAAATATTTTAAGTCTTTTAATATATAATTAATAAATTTTTTTAAAATATCTTTAATTAAGAGTATAGGTAATTAATAAAATTTTTTAATTGAGATAATTATTAAATAAAAATAAATATAAAAAAATAATTTTTTTAAAAGTATAATTCAAATTAAAAATATTTTATAATATTAAAGAGATGAGCAACATTTAATTAATACTAATAAAAAATAAGTTTTAAGAAAAATTCAAAATTTAATTTTTTTTCTTTAAATTCACCTGCCCTGCGGCCATCGTGTTGCCGGCACGCCACCAAATCGAAAGTCCTCCTCTCTCTCTCTGCCTCTCTGTCTCTCTTCTGACTGTAGCTCTTCGTTCTCTGAGATCCTCATATCGCCGCTGCAATGGCACCGCCGTCCGTCGTCGCTGTTCAAGTAGAGAACGTTGAGTTTCCACCGGTAGTGAAAGCTCCGGGCTCCAACAAGAGCTTCTTCCTTGGCGGTGCCGGGGATAGGGGCCTACAAATCCAGGACAAGTTCGTGAAGTTCACGGCCATCGGAGTGTACCTCGAGGATGACGCCGTTCCGATGCTTGCCGCTAAATGGAAGGGAAAGACGGCGGAGGAGTTAACAGAATCCGTCGAGTTCTTCAGAGAAATCGTCACAGGTAATGGATTTTGGATTCTTTGTCCTTCTGGCCTTTTCTTTCTATATATGTTTAAGAATTCAGGTATCGGATCCGCCATTTCGTCGATCTTTTCACTGGAATAGCATTGGGATGATGAACGTTTTCGTAATTTCACCGTTTGACTAATTAAATCTGAACCGTACGTTGTCGTAGTCATTATTAGCCTCGTGATAAATTTCAGTGGCACGTATGTAATTAACACCGCTATTTCACTTCCTTCCATTATTGGTTTTAGAGCCAATAATTCGGACGGGCCGGGCTTATTTGAATCGGGTTCAATTCGGGCTGGGCTTATTCAGATCAGGCTTAAAGTATTCCACCCTTTCTAAAAAGCCCATATAACTAAACCCGGCCCTAACACCATCGGACTTCTGGCTTATTCGGGCTGGTCTGAATACCCGAAACTTTTTCAAAGTATTTTTTATTTATTTTTTAAACTAATTTTAATTTTTAAATAATTCTATTAAGCATAAAATATTATCTTAATTTTAAAAGAATAAAATAAAAAATAACTTATCAACTTCTGTTATTATTTTGTTGTATTATGTATAATTTATTTATGAATGTTTCCTTTACTTGTAAATTAATATCTTAATTATTTAAATATTGCTTTTATCATAGTCATATATAAATATTTTATATATTTTAAATAAATTATATTATTTTAATTACGATTAAGTTGATCTTAATTCAATCACAATTAGACTATTAACTTAAAATTATTATCCCGATTAATTTAAAGTTTTTAATAACTTTTAGGCAAATTATAATTTATGAGTATAAGAAAAATTGCCATCATTATATATATAAAAAATTATTTAATTATGAGTAAAATATTATTTTTTTGAAATTATTTTTTTAAATTTTTATATTATTTAACTCTTACATATAAGGGATTCTTACTCTAATTTACTCTTAATTTTTAATCAAGTTTAGCATGGACAATAACCAACTAATTATTTAAGAATATTATTTTATTTATTATGTTATCTAGTAGTAGAGTCGGGAATTCATGCATGCTCAAATTTTATTTTTAAAATTATTTTTATTCTATTTTTACTTTAAAATTAATTATCTTAATTTATAAAAAATATAAAATTATTTTTTTATATGCAAATGATTTATAGGACCCAAATTTTTTTAAAAAAAATTGGGTCTTAAAATATAAAAATTAGTATTAAAATATATTTTAAATATTATTTTGAAATATTTTATTGATTAAAAATAATAAAAATATGAAATATAAATCTTTTTAATTTTTTAAAAAAATAAATATATTAAAACACTCATATATATAGTATTTTGGTATAAAATGATATAAAATTTAAAAAATTAATTAATATTTATCATATTTTATATATTTTTAAAAAAGTTATTTTTTTATTCGGGTATTCGGGCTAAGCCCGATCGGGTTCGAGCTTAGCCCGAATTTTCTCGGGCCTATTCGGGTGGCCCAAATAGGCCCGACCAATAAAAAATTAATATTTTTTTCGGGTTTGGTCCTAAATTTTTCGGGCGGGCTCGAGTTGGCCCGTCGGGCTTAACCCAAATTACCAGCTCTAATTGGTTTGAACTAAGTCCTTTGTTTTTCGCTTGGACATCGGGCATCATGAGCTTAAGAGAAGTCCATACTAATTCAGATCGAGCATTGTTGGATCTTTTTCAATGAAAATAGACTTTACCACTTTGTTTTAACAGTGCTATTTCAAACATGAGATTATTGGTTAAGCTGGTTGAAATACTCTCTTGCTCGTTGTTTCAATAACAATAGCACTTCCTTTGCTTGGAAGATTTCCCAAGTTTAAATATTTGCTTGCATGGGTCCATGATTCTTCCTTTTTTATGAGAAAGAATTAGGATAGAAATAAAATAAAATAAAAAAAGTCTTTTTCATTGTTAGATTGATCCAATAATTCATAAGAGATAAGATAGATGATATAAGCGTGTTGATTGGTTTCTCCTTGGAAATATCAAAATCAAGATTCTGGTGGCTTTTGATGAACCAATCACATACAGGTAAAGATTAGTCCGATTGCCATACGCATCCGGCCAAATTTTAGGAAGTTATGTTGAGAAATACACACAATTAGTGTGGGTTTCGTGTGTGATAAGGTTTGAAAAGGGCATACCCTTAACCACTACTAAAAAAAGATACGATGGAAGTCATGCCCTTAATAACACTAAAGTCATTGCTTAAGCTAAGAGTGGAAAAAATAAAGGTATTTTTAAAAACGCGTCATCAGTATTTCATTAAATTTTGTAAGAAGTCTTGTATTCAGGACCAATAGATATGTTCTTATAAATAACATTGAAGTATTATTTATAACTCATAATATATATTGTTTTTTAAGAAGTTCTCAAATTTCTCTATTTTTTTAAAAAATATTTTCTTGTTCACAGGTGGATTTGAGAAATTTACGCGGGTGACAATGATCTTGCCATTGACTGGGCAGCAGTACTCAGAGAAAGTATCAGAAAATTGTGTGGCAATTTGGAAATCTCTGGGAATTTACACAGAAGCAGAAGAAAAAGCAATTGAAAAATTTGTTTCAACCTTCAAAGATGAAACTTTCCCACCAGGCTCCTCTATTCTTTTCACTCAATCTCCCAAAGGATCTCTCACGGTTAGTCTTGCTTAAATTCGAAACCATATTTTTTTCCTCATAATAATTTACAAAAATAAAGATGAAATAAATCAGACTACTGTTGATTTTGTTTTAATCAGTTGACTTGACTGGGCAATATCACCAAAAAAAAAAAACTTTTTTTTTTAATCGCTTACAACCCAATGATTGGATGTTTACGAGATTTTTTTTTTAATTCTAGTTTCTATATAGTATTTACTATTTTGGCTGAAGTTTACTTGGTCTTTAACTTTACATGAAATTTCATTTTGTTTCTTGAATTTTATAAAGTGCATTTCTAATTATTTAATCTTAGCACCATTAAAATTATAGATAAGGATTCTCCATTATTTTCTGACTAATTAATAGTTAAAGTTAGCTTTTGTTAAAGAAAACATTGTACTAAAAATGAATTTAAAGCAAATTGCCATTTTAATTCTCTTTTTTTTAAATGACAATGATAAGCACAAAAGATAATATTTGAAACTTACGTTGTTAAGATTACAGAGTTAAAAAGTTACTTTGTAAAACTAAGATTACAGAATTCCTAATGCAATAGTTTTTTTGGTGAATTGAGATTGTTGGGGATTTCAACCCCTCGTTTTGTGACCAATTATGTTTGGGCTTTGCCTCGTTTTCTACCAAAAAAGAGAGAGTAATAAATCAAATTAAATTTTATCTAAAATTAGAGAGCATCAAAGTTACAAGTTAGCTTATTATTTTTATACTTGTATTTAAGCCTCTTGATTGAAGAGTCATGATTTTCAATTAAATTAAAAGATTAGTTTTGGATGAGTCGAGTTTACATGTATTCTACAGGAATGAAAATAGAATCTTATTTTGAAGAAACTATGCTATTCACATGTTTCAAAATTTTAAAAGAACTTTATTATTCAGCAATATCATCTTTGTGTTTTATGTTGTTGTCTTTTATGATTTTTTAGAAGGTCATGAATGGCAGGTAGATTAGTTCAGTTCAAAATTTAAACGAATTTATTAGAAGTTTGAAAAGCATTATACTTCTGGTCGAAAGTCTTATGTTATATTATATTGGTCGGCAACGAAAGTCATATGTATTATGTCATCAATATTAATGCATTAATACATACAAACATGCTTGTAACATATCACATTATTAACAAATTATGAATTGTGTGACTTATTTTTCAAAATTTATACTAAGTGAGTTTGATAGTACATTTCATGCATTTCTTTTCTGAATTGAAAATAACTAATGATTAAAGTCATGAATGAAGGAATTATCAACCAATACCTTATTTTATGGATCTAGAGATTGATTTGGTAGATTTATGCTCTTAATTTTAGGTAAGAATACACGTGGCATCTTTAGAATATTCTTGAATTATTATCTTTTGGTTAGAGAAAGGACTAAATTAAAGGAGCATCCACATGACCAATTAACTTACCTCATTCTTATTGGTTGATGCTAGCTTAGATGTAAATGTATAGTTTGGGCCTCGGCTTGTGGATCGAGACACCGCAGATTATTAATATGTTATATTCCTGTAGTAAAATAACAAAATGATAACGGGTAGTTTTATGTACAAACATGAAAGTTTTGGAAAATTTCTTATCAAGTTATAAGGCTCAAATGGGCTTTTTGTATATAGTTTAAAGTATAATGGAGTTTTATATTTTTTTAAAAAAAAAATTTGTAACTTGGTTCAGGATTTCAAATCATCATCTAGTTCATTTTTTATTTGAATTCAGTGTGACATAAATTAATTCAGTTAATGAGTGTCTAAATTATAATCATTGGATTTAATAAATACATAAATATTATCAAGATATATTTTCTCCAAAAAATTTAAGATTTGATAACTTTTTAAATATTATAGGACAAAATATCTTATAACCATTTAATTAAATGAATAGTTGTTATCGTGTCATGTAAGACACTCATTGGGTGAGTAGATTCAAGTGACTCCTTTGATCCAAATCCAATTTTTTCACTTTTATTTTTTCCTTTAATTTGAACATATAAGTTTGTCAAAACAAAAAAAAAAATTGTTCATCTTAAATCATCATGTAATTACTGTTTTTTTTTTTCCCTTGTTGAATTTGAACAGATAACGTTCTCAAAAGATGGATCAATTCCTGAAGCTGGGGGTGTAGTAATAGAGAACAAGTTACTTTCAGAGGCAGTGTTGGAATCCATTATTGGCAAGAATGGTGTGTCTCCTGCTGCCAGACAAAATGTGGCCACCAGATTATCTGAGTTATTCACTCTCTCTCAAAATGGCTCACCTTCAAATTAATTCTCTCTCAAGCTAGCTATTGCCTGGCCTTCTTGATCTGTGCCTTTTAATTTAATTATGACTTATCTTTTAAGTTGTTGTCTTTGTTATGGTTTGATTTAGTTTGAGTGAACCAGAGACTGGTGTCTTATCGCATCCTTTTTTGTTATGTGGATTTTATTTTTGTGTGGGCCTATCTTTACCTTTTTTATTTTTAATTTTGCATCTTATTTTTTGTTTCAAATTATTATATATCTATATGATGGATTGCGGTTCAGATGAAGAATAAATCTAGGAATTGAGAGATTAAAGATTTAAAGGGTTTAAATTGGGTACTCTGAATCATTCAAAGTTTATTTGGACAATCTATATTTAGGATTTTTAAGTGGTCAATTTATTCTTTTAAGACAATGTGATGGTTGAAAAATTATCTTTATTCTAAATTAGCACATTGTTAAAATAACAAAATATTAAAAGGAGAATACTAAAATCAAATCAAATTTAACCCATCCATATTTAATTTAAATGATTCAGATTTGAGATGAGCATTTCATGCTTGTTATCTTGATGAGTATGATTTGTGCTCATATAGAATAATAAAATCAAATAAAGAAGAAGAAGACCATATTGTGGGATCACATTTAAAAATGTGATAGTTGAAAACTTATATTTATTTTAAACCCTACTCTTATTAAAATAATAAAATAATAAAAATAGAATAATAAAATTAAATGAAATTTGAACCATCCATATTTAATTTCCATAGTCTAGATTTGGAAATGAGCATATTGATGAGTATATAATGAGAACCAGTTTTAGTATTCATCATACAAATGAGAATTGAGAGCTCATTGTCTCTGGATTATTTAGATCTAATTTTCATAGTCTAGATTTATAGTTTTCAACTAGTGATTTTTAAATAAAAGATATTTTTTTTGAAAAAACTGACAGTTAAAGTATTGTCTTTATTTTAAATTCTATATCTATTAAAATAAGTCTTTTTAAAAAAGTAAAAGTAAAAAGTTGTAAACCCGAACCATCTAGATTAAATCTGAATAATTTAGAGACGATGAGCTCTTAGTACTTATCTAAATGATAAGCATTGAAATTGGTTCCATATATAATGTGCTCACGTCAATTAGTAGACCGTATAATGAGTTTGAATCTCTTATATTTTAATAGACAATTGAAGCTCTTTATTTAGGAAAAATTAGTAAAAAAAGACCTAGCTGAAATGAAAATTAGTCCTAAGGACTAAATGTCATTGAAGGACTAAGGTTATTATTTTTTTAATTTAACTACTTTCTCATCTAACTAAAATACACATGTGCCCTATCCACTCCTTACTATCTCTGCATGTCCCTTTGGTTGTGCCCCCTGTTCAAGTCATCATCGCATTACCGATGTCACTGTTGGAAACTCCTTGATCGATGATGCTGCCATGTCCCATGAGTTAAGATGGTATCAACCTCTACTATAAAATTGCTAGCTAAGCTTTGATGAGGCGACTCTGATGCTTGCCGAACATGTTTTTTAACTTTCTTACTACCAATGGTTCCCACTATATTCACCACTGATTTTGTTCTCCTCTTCCTCTTCTTTCAATTTCATTGTTTTTGTTTTCTCTTCATTTTGTTTTCAACCATCGCCTTTCCCCAGAAGCAAACTCGAGGAGAGATTCACCATTTTTTAGCATAACAAACTTGAAGAAAAAAAAGGTTCAAAACTCATCCTATCCTATACCTTCCCTTCTCCTAGTGCTACTTTTTCAATCAAAACCATGTAAAAAATAAAAACTGTTGGTTTTTTTTTGGTAAATTATCGTTCAGGAGTGCAAAATTTTAAAGTCCTTGAGTTTTATATCGAATCCTCTATTATGGGTTAAGGAGGCTGCTGCTAAAATGGCAATTGTGCTTGTCTATTCATCTTTTAGAGTTCTTGTTGTTGAACTTTCAAAAAAAAAAACTTCTTCAAACCTTTAATGCTTTTGTTATTGAGGATTTTAATTATTCCTTAAACTTTTTTATATAGGGAAAGCCCCTTGATTGGCAATACTTTGTAAGTATCATCACTCTGCTTCTCATCAATTTAACAATTAGTTTCATTGAGGAAAACAATGTCGGTAATGTTGCAGCTGCTCTCATGGCTTGTCTTGCTTTAAAAACAAAGGTGTCATATTTAGCATTCAATTCATTTCATATTAATGGTTGCTAACTCTAATTTAGCTTAATTATTAGCGCAGTCTAGTTTTCCCTTTCTATTTTTCTGTTCTTTGTCCCATGAAATCATTTTCCTCCTACTTGTTGTTCAGGTTCTTCGAGAAGGTAGGTGGAATGTAACACCCTAAAAAATACAAACCGATTTTTCGCAAATTATTAAAACCATTATCATGGTAGAAAATTTTCTTATCATGATACATCCAAGACAATATACCACAAGTCTTAAAATATCTCAAAAAAGCAATTAAAACCATGAGGGACAGTCAGGATCCTCATGGCATGATATTTAAATTAGGTCATGAATCAAGAGAGACAAACATAATCCTCTTGGTCAAATAAACACTTTTAATAAAAAGGATTAGAGTTTACATGCTTCACAAAGAAGATATGTCCTAAGTTGGCATAAGATACATTGTATAATCCAAAATAAGAGGCAACGTAAAAGATGGTGTTTCATACACCATAGTTACACCTCTGGTGCTTTCTCGGCCGGACTCACTCCTGTAAAAATATTAACCACGGGGAATGAGACTTAAAAGTCCCGATAATTAAAAATTAATATGTAATGATGCATGCGATTGTAACTAATCATGCGATTGCTAAGTGGGCACACAAAACATTTAACCGAACAATATTTTCAAACAAACCGAACAAGTATTTAATTTGCATGACTACACCTTATATCCTCCTTTCGCCATGCTCGGACGCCAAATCACCCGGCCAAAGGTGAGTTGGACCAAGCGACACGCCACTCATTGGGTCCAATGAGGGCTTACCACGTGGTAATAATTAACCGAACAGAAATTCCCATTAACACCATACATTAAAATACCCTGACAAGTCATGCATCATTCAAATATCCAAACAAGAATATATCTGAACAATAATATCTCATCATGATAAATAAAAATAAATTTTTGACCCACTTGGCAATAATTTCAAACAAGTATATAACAGTATTTATTTTCAATAATTCATAATTTTTTCAAACAACAAGTCAACACATAACCATTCACAAACACACTCATCACAACACATTAATAATGGTTACCTTGTGTCTTGAATAACAAGTTCGCCTTCACAACTCCTTTTTCACCACTATCTTTGTCAATATAATCTACATAATATTTCACAATACTATATATTAATTTTACATTAAAATAAATAACTCTAATTTAAAGAATTAGAAAGTCTTAGATCTATAATCCATATTAATACTAATTTAAGATTTATGCCTCATTTAACTTCTCAAATTCTTTTTCTAAAATTCTTGTATCCTAATAAACTATTTTTTTTATCCTCAAATCACTTCTAGTATCACAATTTCATCCTTCTATATTCTAAAAATTCGTCCAAAAATAAATTAAAAATTTTAAAATTATCCTGAAACCTCAAATCACCTTTCTATAACCTCAAAAATACCTATTCATACTTAAATAAATATTTAATAATCAGAGGTTTATCCCTACATCTCAGATTCCATATAAATTCAACCATATAGATCTAGATTTTAACTCGAAAATTCTTAAACATGAGTTTTAACCTCAAGAAAATATTCTATAATATTTATTATATTCCTAAGAGTTTTAACCTATATTTGTAATCCATCATATCATCAGATTAACTATCCTATAAAAAAAATTCTAATCAGAATATTTACTCTATCCAACAAAATAATTATATCACTAAAAAGCTAATATTATTTAGAAAATAACTATAAAATTAATTTTGTAATTAAATAAATTTTTTAAATGTTAATCTAAACAGGAAAGTTAGAACATACCTGAAGAAAAAAAAAATAATCCCCCCTTGCAAGAAGACGCCGAGCAACGTGAGAGGAAGAGAGAAAAATAATATAAAAATAGAATTATGGGTCCCAAAATTATATTAAAAAAATTATAGGTTTGAATTTAATTATTCAAACCTTTGGGCCATTACTTGCAATTTTCACAAATTGCATCTTGGGTCCTTAGTTGCAATTTTCACAAATTACAATAAATAATTCCTTATGCTTCCTCCACAATGCACCTTCTCTTTTTATACATGAAGAGGTGCCTTTCATTCCCACATCTAACCGATGTGGGATTAAACCCCCTCCCTTTTTTTTTTTTTACTTTCTTTTCTTTTTTTTTTAAACTCTCACACACACATAGTTTTTTTTTAAAAAAAATCTTAAAATTATATCTTAATAAAATATTTCTTATATAATTTTAAACTTAAGTTTTTAAATTCATAATTAAATGCCTACCCATATTATTAAAATAACCTCAAATAATATAAATTCCTATTATTATCATCATTTTAAAAAAAACTTAAATTTCATAATTTTTTTTATCTAAAATTTAGGATATTACATGGAATGAGCAAGATGCCTCAATCTTGGTTTATGTGATATCATCAGCATTAAACTTGGAGATATAATACTAGCATATGCTTGTCTTTGTGAGGGGGACCATTGAAAATTGATTAGGTAGGTTTTTTGGTTATTTTGTGTAACATCTTGATTTTTAGATAAGAAAGAAGTTTTAGAATTTAAGTCTTATTGAGGATATAATAATAATAATAATAGGAATTTATATTATGATAATAGGAATTTATATTATTTGAGGAGTAATAATATGGTTATGCATTTAATTATGAATTAAAAATTTAAGTTTAAAATTACATAAAAGATATTTAGTTAAGATATAATTTTAAAATTTAAAACATATAAATATGTGTGTGTGTAGGTAAAAAAAAAAAAGTGGTACAAGGCTTCTTTTAGATCCCACATCGGTTAGATGTGGGAAGAGGAATGGTTTCTCATATATAAAAGCCTGCATCAAGTGGAGGCAAAAAGGGCATTGAGCAATGTGTAAAAATTATAACTAATAGCCCAAGAGTTTGAATAATTGAATTCAAATTTATAGTCTTTTTTAATATAATTATAGGACCCACAATCTCATTTTTATGTTATTTTTCCCCCTCTCTCCCCCCTCATGTTACTTTATCT